ATGATTGGGTGGAACAAAATAAGGATAAGAAGACCACATCTATAGATAAGTGAGGTAGAGATGGCATGGGGTTTAGGAAATGGGATCAAACTGCCGCCTTGTTGTATTTTAAGAGATATTAACGGTAATGGAAAGAATCGAGTAGGTAAAGGAACTCCTGATGCAGAGAAAAAAGGGAGCCAAAGTAGGGAAGCTCTGGAGAAGGTTAGAAAAATTGTTCTTTGCTAGGAGTAGAGATACTTCATCTATTCTAATAGGGGAGCAAGCAGAAATGTGGAAGGTGCATGTGTGGCAATATAAGATGATCCTGCCTGATGGTTTGACCCTTCTTAATGAAGCCTTTTCTAAAGTTTATGATCTTCTAGTAAAACAGACATGAGAAGATTGATGGAAGAGGAGGCAGAGTAAAATAGGAAACATGCAGGAAAATACAGTAGCATTCAGACTCCTTGAATGCCTTTTTGAAATTTGTGGTCAGAAATGTAAAGTGTTGCCAGGTGCGGTGGCACATGCCTGTAATTCTAGTGGCTTGGGAGGCTTAGGCAGGAGGATCTTAGGCAGGAGTTCAAAGTCAGCCTCAGCAACAGCAAGGACCTCAGTGAGACTCTGACTCTAAATAAAATACAAAAAAGGGCTGGGGATGTGGCTCAGTGGTTGAGTCCCTTGGGTTCAATCCCCAGTACCCACCCTAACAAAAAAAAAAAAAAAAAAAAGAAGGAAAGAAACAAATGAAAAAGAAATGTAAAGTGTTACCAGTCCACAAGTTTCAACTGAGAGGACATGGTGGTGGGGGGATGAATTTTTAAGTGATGTAAGTACCCATGTCTCCTCTTCTCACAAATGTTTCTGAAAAGGTCACCAAATGGAAAGTGAAAGAAGCAGATGTGTAATTTTTATATGGTACTTCATACTTGCAGGTATAAAATGAGAAATTCATTTTTAATCTAAAATGTCTTTGACTTGTGAATCTGGAAACAGGTTGCTGTCAAGAATTGTGAAGGGTCTGAGTTTCTAAATAATCTAATAAGTTAGCCTGTTTAGTGGATGTGAGCAGAAGACACAAGACTCTCTATTCAGAGACCAAAGAGTATATTACTCATGACACAGTAAGCAGCATAAGTATCAGCAAGTTTTTGTTACTTTCTTTTCCTCCACAAGACCTATAAGGGTGTCAAAATGGGTCAAGGTGAATATTACAGTTACAGTGGGTTTGTGTGGACTCGGGTCTTAGAATTTTTTGAGTAAGTAGTAAGCACTCTAGCTAGTAGCCAACCAGCCAGTCCCTCCCCCTACCTCTCCCAGAGAGCAGTACACTGAAGCCATACTGTGGACACCTTGACCTACTTTTCAGAATCAGGAAACAGATGAGTCTTACAGTCTTTCATATCAAGCAAGAATGTGCAAGACCACTCAGGGCCCATGGTGAGCTGCCTGTCTCAACAGTTACATTGTTTTCAATTGGAAAAAGTAAATCAGGAACAAACTTAATAGTTCTTATTTTCACAATCTATCCGAAGCCACAAAACTTGCTCCTTTACACATACTTTTATAGCATTTGTTTTCAAATTTACCCTTGTAACTATGCTGGTAAAAATTTCTAGGGTCATTTCTGAAATATGTAATGAGAAATATGAACAAAACCATTGGAAAGTATTATAAAGTATTCTGGTTTATTTCAGTCTTTATTAAAATTATTCATCATTTTGCATATTTTTTTCTGGATGTTTTTCTATAGCAAAAGTAACAGAAAAAGTGGATGCAGATAGAAACTCAGTTACATAAAAACCAGGAAGAATTAATAGGAACGAGCTCTTCTCTTAATCAAAAAGCTTTCAGTCCTGCTAGAAGTATGTGGAAACCTTTACCATAAAAAAAGGGCATAACATCCTGAGTGTTGCTTAAAGGTGCTTTGACACACCTAAGGAAAAAATAAGCGTAACTCCATTTCTCTGCTTCTTCTGTCCTTATTCTCCAGAGGACAGATGTTTGATGAGCCCGCTTTCTTTGGAGCACTTTTGCTTGAATTCTGGACACCAAAGGGAATAAATGGAGGTGAGGTCTCTAATTCCACAGTCCCTAATTACCATTACCGTTCACTCTTATTTCAGTCTCACCAGCTTCTCTGTTTTTCCTAGAATGAGCCAGAAACACTGCTCTCCAGTAACTGGGTCTCTGCTAGATCTCTGGCAGGATGCATGCGGCATTAGGAGCTCTTCATGGCTCATTCCCTCTCTGTCTTCAGGTTTTTGCTCAAACAATCCTCAAATTAAGCTTTCTTAAACACTCTATAAAAAATAGCAACAACCTCTTCTAATTCCTCCCAGTACTCATCTTCTTTAATGGCTTTATTTTTCCATAAAACACACCTTCTGGTATCCCACATGATTTATTTGTTTTTTTTTTTTTTAATATGATCAGCATATTCCTGTTCCTTGCTGAACCTGTAGTGCCTAAAAGTGTCTAGCACAAAGCAAATTCTTGCTGATATTTATTGAATGCATGAAAGAGTCATAAGACCTATTCTGATTAAAACAGGAAAATGTAGGGTTACAGAAGTTCGCAACTGGAGTGCCTAACTGTGGAATTATTTTGGACACCATATTTCATATTTTTGGTGTGCCCCAAGTAGAAACTGATGCATTGCTATCTTTTAGTCAACTATGCCCTTTCAAAGTTTCTAAGGAAAAGTAATCCTTAAAATGAGCACTTTAATTTGGGCTATGCCGAATGATCCAAGAAAGAGACAGGTGTTTGTTCAGTCATAAAAGTGAAATATTTGAGGAAGGTTAGAGGGAATTATGTGATATGAGGATAAGTAAAAATGGAAAAGAGCAGGACCTGTCTTCTCTATAAGACTGGAGCAAATTAAATGGACCAACAAACACTATTCAAAGATCCTCTATAATGTTCTTTGTCTGTACTGTCCAATATGGCAGTAACTAACTATATGTGACCAGTAGTACCTTGGAGAAAATCATGTAGGTACAGAATATACCAATGTCACACAGCCCCCGCCCACACTAGATGCAATTTTGCTTTCCATAGTTTCAGTTACCCTCAGTCAAATGCTGTCTAAAAATACTATATGGAAAATTCCAGAAATACATTTCATGAGTTTTAAATCATGCACTATTCTTAGTAACCTAATGAAATCTCGCATAATCCTGCTCTGTCCTGCCAGGGACATGAATCTGTATCCAGCATATCGGTGATGTTTTTCTTACCTGCCCTTTAATCAATAGCCCTGTCATGAAACTGCAGTGCCTGTTGACCTTCAAGTAAGAAGGTCCACAGTAGCTTAATGCTCCATCACAATGTCCACCTCATCTCACCTCAGTCCATCTCATCACAAGGCATGGCATGGTCTCACATCACAATAGACAGCACAATAAAGCATTTTGAGAGACAGAAAAACCACATTCACTTAACTTTTATTACAATACATTGTTAAATTGTTCTATTTGATCATTAGTTATTGTTTCTAACTTCTTATTGTGTCTAATTTGTCAACTAAGCCTTTTATCACAGGTATGTATATACAGGAACACACATAGGACAGGGTTCAGCATTATCAGTGGACTCAGGCATCCACAGGGGTCTTAGAACGTATCTCCCAGGGCTAAGGTGAGACTACCGTAAATGAGAGTAAGCAACATCTTTATGTCTCAACGTGAAGTGGCTGAAGTCACTTTACTCCTTCATCCTTACAATATTTCTATTCTGTTCAGGAAAAAGGTTTTTGAAAATATAAACTCAAAAGTTGAGGCTAGGCAGACAGCATTTATAAGTGTCTTAATTGGAGAAGTCTGATATCTCAGCATACAAAATTTTAATGTAATGTAACCCCTTTATTACTATTTTTTACCTTTTTTAATATAAAAATATTCTCAAAGTTTTTACTTCTGAAGGTAATGAATAATCATCTTCATCTATATATCTACACTTCATATTATATATAAGTGCCAATTCATAAAATTGCAGCACAGTCCAAAATTCACATATGCAAAATTTTCACATACATAAAAATCTCTTGACAAATAAAAATACTTTAAGTGTAAAAGTAAGTAAAACTACTTATGACCAGCTACAGACTGTGTGTGTAGACAGGTGGGAGCAGGGGTGGAGCCTTGGCAAACCAACAGCTGGATGAGTTCCACCTGGTAAGTCCTCCGAACACTAATGCAGAACTCCTTCAACAACTTATAAAAGTTGTCGGTTAAAGGAGGCTGATTTGACACATTCTTCTTTGTCTTAAGAGTTAAGACAAATCCTAGAGTGGAATAACGAATGTCAAAGTCTATCCCCTAATAAAGTGCTAATGTAATGATTATGAAAGAAGAGCTCAGTTAATACTCACTTTCTCTGCAATATCACATCTTGCAGGTACTTTGTGTGTGTATATATAGCAATAGATACTAAATTGGCCAGCCACCTTGAATATATGTAAAATGACACTAGTAAAGTAGTTCCTATTACTGAAATTGATTGGATTCCATTACGTTTTAATGCCTTCATAATTTAAAGCTCTAAAACATGTAATACATCTTGTCAGATGCTCCTGACTTGCAGATACCTGCTGCACATGAGATGCCACCACACGTTAAATCAACCTACAGCAGACCAGCATTTTATGTTTTATGAAATTTCAAGCTCATTGTGCCTCTGTAACCTAAACATGTTTATGATGATTTTAACTATATTTGTACCATTTTACACAACATGTGACATTGCATCCAGGCAATTTTCCAGTATCTGTGCTGCTAGAAGAGGCAGAGCCACAGATCATTTCTAACAGTTTTAAAGCTCTTTTAATGCTAATCCAAATCACTAGGATTAAACTTGATATACATTTCGGTTTGGTATTTAACTTCTTCTTAACTGCATTTTGTTTAGGCTCATATTAAATCATTCTGTGGCCCCCAAATTTGGCAAGTGTCAGGACAAAGGCACTTGGAATTAAGAGTAGGAAATTAAACTGCAAGTAACTGAAAGTTGTCCATTTAAAGTCCACTGATAGGTCCATCATCAGTAGCATTCTCTATGAATTTAATACAAGAGGCTGCTGCTTCTTCAATGGATTTTGACCAGCCACCAAGATTTCCAGCAAAGTATGGAAGGATGCTAGCTGACATCTGGTTAAGGTAAGACACCTGTTTCAAAAAGAAAACACAATATTTTAATTTTTTATTGGCTTGGAGCTTTTTCAAGCAGAGACCTGAATCTTGGTTGATGGAGGGGATGCTATGATCCTAAACTTCTGGGGACTTTCTGAAATGGAATATGAAGTGTGGACACATGACTACAATTAATTAAGAAATCTGGGGACATGAAAAGATTCTTCCACATTTGGGGCAACTAAGAAATTTGCAGATGCTTCATCAGACTTACAGTGCATGAAGTACTATCAATAGCCTCGATAAGAAATCCAGCACATATGACTTCACTTCTGATGTACTGTGGAGACGGTGGGACTGATGGCAGGATGATTGACTTGGCTGCCACCATGTAGGTGTTGCTGAAAGTTAAGAACACACATTCCAGGTTCTTGTGAGAAACAAACAACAGTCTTTAGAAAGTAAACTATAATTCAATTTATTTATTTATTTTTGCAGTGCAGGGGATCAAACCCAGGGCCTGGTGCATTCTAGGCAAGCACTCTACCTCTGAGTTGTACCCTCAGCCCACAAAGCAATTTGTTTATCCATGTAAAAGCAAAGCTTCTGTCTAAGTGGCTTGCATCAGAAAACCTTCTCTCTGGCTACATTCAATTGTAGGGAACAGGAATAAGGGCCATTGGTATTTTCTCCTTAAGAATTATACATATTTTGCAAAACTTCCCAAATTAAAGTCAACCTCCAAATTAAAGTTTCCTTATATTCTAAAGAGTTGTAATATCAGTTTCCACTCCCTTTATATTAAAAAGAAAATAATACCCATTGTTTTAAAGAACCTCAAACAACAGAGAACCCTATAAGCTAGAAAATAAAAAATTCCCTTCTTTCCACTCTACCTGCAATCTTCTTCCCTACCCTAAAGCACTCTTCTTAATATTTTTTGAGGGTAGTTCTCTAGTCTTTGCTGTATAAAAAATGTATAATATTAACATCTGTAGAAGAAAATGTACACATGTAGATAGATTTTACATACACATGTATGTTATAATTATAATTTTTCACCTAACAATAAATCTGTTTCTGTATTAGTGTCTCTATAGGTACTTCATTGGCACACTGCCTTGTGGATTACTTTGCATAATTATTAAGAAAGAACTTTAGTGCATTTCTCATCTTTTGATATAACATATGATACTCTAGTTATCCACGTGAGGGAATATTTGGGACATCGCCCCTGAGACACCACACTCTGAGGAATCTGATGAACACAGACCAGTGCCCCAGTTGATCAGTTGATGGCTGGTGCTGTATGTCTGTCTAGCACAGTTGAGCCTCTGTGAGTCCTAAACAAACTTTTGGAATTTATTTGCATTCACTGCCTTTTTTTTTTTTTAATTAAAATGGAATGTTTTAAAACGTTTGCTAAAAATCAGGTTCACATCTCTACAGAGCAACAGGGAAGAGAACTGCTTGAGAATCTTTGCATGATACTTTGCCCATAGCTGGCACTTAATATGTGATTGTTCATGTTTTAAATGACAGCTAAAGATTCATCCAGGAAAAAAATTAAATGAATATCATCCAAGACCAGAAATGCCTATGTTGGCTCCTTACTTTATATTAACTCTCCATTTCTAGGCTATACTATAAGGTATTGTTAGGACACTTGAACTGTGGATACTTACCCATCTTTGAGAGGCTTTCTTCGTGATACAAGTACTATGAAGTCTTTGGGTTTGTCACCATTGACCTCAGAGCAGATGATGTAATATATTTGATCATTCTCGTTCACCCTGTCTATGACTTCACAGAACCTATGTAAACAGAACAGTGGAAAATGGGCACACTTTTCTATCTGCTAGAATAAGGCATTCACTTCCCCAATTAATGTGCACAGTCTCATTGTTGGCATCCATGTTTGCCCTTCAGCTCACTTACCACCCCCCCTGCCCCCAGAACCAGCATCATTGCTCAAAAGCTGCCTTTGGAATGAGCTGTTTGGTCAAAAGGAGCAATTCTGCATGTGATGGAAAGGGTGTTGGCCATTTGACTCCAACTTCACTTCCCTGGATACTTCAGAGGAAGGCATTAATCTGTTTTGCACAAAATTATTTTTCTCTAGGGTCAAGTAAAGTGAATTATACAAACAGCTTAAGAAGGACTATTAGGTAAATAAATATGATATGTATGACATGTTGGAAAGAACAGTAAGTTTCTTTGACTTTTGAGTCTCAGATTGCCATTTACTAGCCATGTGACATTAGGCAAGTCATTTTATTATTTATCTGTGAGGTGTAGATAATATCTATGGGATTATTGTGAGGATTAAATGAAAACAGAACCCAGTGGCTGAATCACAAGTACGTGTACAAGAGAAGTAAGTTGAATTAGAATTCATTCATTCATTCCTCCATTCATTCAAGTTCAATTTGAATGGGATGTCAAGTGACATAGAGAATTCTGGGAGAGATATTTTTAAAGAATTAATGCCAAACTTTAGAAATTGTTCTCCCTAAGATCTTTGTGTTTGAGAGAATTTACAAATATTGATGCAAGAAAATTAAAAATGTTTCCTCTTCTCAGATCATTTTATTAGTATCTATTCAAATCTAACATAAGACTCCAGAGATGTTTCACCTTAGTGGTATTAAATTGTCTATTACATGTTATTAATCACAGTGAGTTTTAAAAATTTTAAAGATGTGCCTCTATACTGTCAACATTTGGCAATAAATAGTAACACTTAATATAAGAAGAGGCCCATGCGATCAGCCCTTGCTTTTCAGCAAGGCACCTGTGAAACACTGTAGCCGAGAGAGCTGGACTGAGTATAGGTGACAAGGTGCACAGCTCTGTACAGTTGTCTCTCTGTATCTGCAGGAGATTGGTACCAAGATCCCTGTGGATACCAAACAGTGTGGATGCTCCAGTCCTTCATATAAAATGGCATAGTATTTGCATATGACTCTTGCACACCCTCCTATATAGTTTAAATCATCCTTAGATTACTTATGCAACGAAAATGCTCCATATGGAGTTATCTTGTATTGTTTAGGGAATGAAGACAAGAAAAATGTCTGTATGTGTTCAGTATAGACACCATACTTTCCCTAATATTTTTAATCTATGGTTAGTCGAATACTCAGATGTGGAATCCACGAATATAAAGAGCTGACAATATTTCAGGAAAGGAGAGATCATGGAAGAGACTGAACTAGGAATTAGGAAGAGTAAGAGCAGTAGATTGGTGGCAGCAGGCACCCTGTGCATCATGGCATACATGGTGCATAGGGAGTGGGAAAGAATGCCTTTCCATCAGGACTCCCTGCTTGTTCTGACAGCTTCTTGCCAGAGAGTGTTGCTTCACAGATAAAGAAGAGACTTCCTGTTAAAAGTCAAGAGTGGGGAGGGCATTGGATAATCACTTTGTTAGGAGCAATGAGGTTGTCTGTTAAAGTAGAACACTGTGGACTTGGGAGCCTGGCAGAGCTGGATTCCAATTCAGGTCCTATCACTCTGCTGCCTGTGCAATCTCAATAGGTCTCAGAAACAGAAATAATATCAACCTTGATGCTACTGGGAGTACTACAGTAGATGTGGGTAAAGCATGTCAACTCAATGTAGACGACCAATAAGTGAGCATTCATTTTTGTTTTGCATCTTTCAATATCACCTGACGTAGTATTCTGTGCTGAACAAGATTTAATAATTATTCTTAATTAATAAAACATTAGGCCCTGGAGAGAACTACAATGTGGAGGGCATCTTTTACAGGATGTCAGGGGTGATTAAGAAAAATAATTAAATTTCTTCTTACATGTAATGGGGGTCCCACAGAGGTCGCTTTGTAAAGTCCGACAAGAGACAATAAGCCAAGTTTGCTGGGCTTTTCACATGTTTTTCAACCCAAACAGATAAAACATCTTGCTCTTCCAGAGTATATATTTTTATCTAAAAGATATAAGAAAAATTAAGTTACAAGAGAAAAATTAATGTTTTTGCTTTGAAAAATATATGATTTTTAATATATATGATTATATATATATAAATATTATATATATATATAAAATCATAGGTCAATTACATGAGCTAAAAGACACCTTGTCACCTGGATAAAAATGAAGCCTCAACATGACAATTTGACCATGAATACTTGGGAATCTAGAAATCTGACCAGGATGTTGATCCTATAAATTAAGGGTGAGTTTTTTACTATGCAATAATTTTTTTCTTTAAAAATAAAGAACATAAGTCTTTCTCTCTTGATCTCCTTGTGATGTTTCCCTGCCTCTACCGAGAGACAACAGAAAATATCACTAGACTGCTAGGCAGGCCAGTGCTTCAAGGCCCCCAGTGCTATGGCTTAGGACACTTTCCCAGAATATCAGCATATCTTCAAGTGGGCTAAGGGGACCCTGGATGCAAGCTAGCCACCACCAGAACCAACTCAGTCTCTCAATAGGGCCCCTAAAACACCCTATTTCCTCAGCACAAAGCATTCTTTTGATTTTTGTATCACCAGGACTCATCCTTCTGCAAGGCTAGTTCCTGTATTTCTAATGTATATTATTCCTTAGATAAGAGGAGGCCCATCATGGGGAGCCATTTGACATATACTTAAACATTAAAGCATCCCTTGTTATTCTGAGCTTTCCTTCTACAGTGCTTTTGACAATAATCAATATGTGTCTTCTGCTAAGAGCACATTTCTTTTCTCCTCATTTTCTCTATCTTTTTCAGGGTACTTTGAAGTTAGTGTTGAAATTTGCCATGTTATCATTCCCATGGCAACAAAGTGTGAGAAGACAAACAAATGTGAGGTTAGGACTTCACTGCAGGAATCAGGCAGATGGAAAAATCAGGCTATGAAGGAGAAAATTTTATTTAAATATATATATATATATATATATATATATATATATATATATTAAATAAATATGTATGTGTTTATTTATGTTTATATAAATAATTTATTTAAACATAAATAAACACACACATATACACATATATAATCAATAAGCAAATACAAAAAAATGAGAAATTAATTAAAAGCAGCATTAAGATACAAATAGTGATTACTTTTATTTCTGCAAAGTACCTCTCTTTGATGCCAAGTATGTCTTCATATCCAGTGTGCAAACACATATGTGGCCTAGGATGTGAGTAGGTTGCAAACACAAAGAAAAACATGGATGGAGCTCTAGCAGGTTGCTGAGAGCCACCCTTCTTAGCCCAAGAATGCCTACCTGTGCCCCCAGCACAAGGGGAGAAAAAGAAGATCATTTAAATCCAGGAGGAAGTTACTTTCTCAAAACATAGTGGTCAGGTGGCTCTAGGACAGACTGTTGGGACTCTGAAATTTCAGAAGAACTAAGGGTATGTGGCCTGGAGGAATTCTGGATTATTGTGGTCTCAGGGCAGGAAGATTCCTTGGTGAAGCCAGAGTGAAGTGGGATATAATATTGGGCTAAGCACTTATTAAGAGTAGAATTGTGTTCTCTCCTCCTCAAATTCATGTTGGAGTCCTAACCTCAGAATGAGACCTTACATGGAAATAGAATCATTACAGATATAATTAGTTAAGATGAGGTCACGTTACAGTAGGGTAGGCCCCTAATCTGACATCTTATAAAAAGGAGAAATTGGACATAAACTCACACACAAGGAGAACACCACCTGAGGATGAAGACAGATTCATCCAAGGATTCACCAAAGCCAAGGAACGCAAAGATTGGCACAGTGCCAGAAGCTAGGTGTGAGGCATGGTCCTGATTCTTTCTCTTTCCCTCAGAAGCAATCAACCCTGCCAACATGTTGCTCTCAGACTCGCAAGTTTCAGAACCGAGAGACACTGACCCAGTGTGTGGCATCCTGTGATGGCAGCCCTAGGAAGTTAATGCAGCATTTTTCCAGGGAGATGCTCCCCAGGCTACAGACACATTGCTGCTGCTTCTTATCATGGAGCCAAAGCCAACATCAAGCTCGGTAGATACCACTAAATTCTGCCTTTACAGAGCTCCCTTGGCGTATTGAATGCCAAATAAAACATGAGGTTTTATTTCCTCCACCAGAAGGTGAGGACCACACAGTCCTCGTTGTCCCACTGCCCAAATCATCGACCTGGCTGCAGAATGGACAAGAAGCATTGGCTGATTTTGGCTAAGAAAAGACAGCTTTTGTTCCATGAAAAAAAAAAAAAATTCTCCAAAGACAATTCTCCAAGAAAATGACTTCCCCTTTATACTCAGGAGACACAGAGGATAAATTCCATTTGTAACTCAATCGTTTTTTATCATCTGGTGGTTGGAGAACTGATTCTGTGAAATGAAGCTTAAAGTAAGTAGGCTCAAAATTTGCTGAAGTGAGCTTTGTTAAGATTTTATTAGTGGTGTTGTTTATTCATTCTAAGAAGATTCTGTTTGAATTTGGTTTGAATATCACACAAATAGTACAAGAAGAAATAACCAAACTTTTCAAATTTTTGTACTATTTGTTGACAAATATGTTATTAAGGTTGCATTATGGGAAATAAGGTGAAATTGGTTTTTATAAAAGCTTATAGGGATTTCGGATTTTCCTTGGAGGTACTTTGGATAACCCCAGGGCTAAGGGGCTGGGGTGGACAGGTAGAGCTCAGGCCCCACCCTTAACTTCAATAAGGAGAACGCCCTTCTGGCCTATTTCCTCTTCTGGGTTTCTGTCCTGGGAAGAGGTTTTCAGGTGGTTCATACCCTTCTGACTTTCACTGTAATTTTCCCAGACATTCTCAGTCACTCCTTCATGAAAAGCTACTCTATCAGGCCAGTCTCCTTCTTGGGGTAATTCACGTCAGAAAGACTCCGCTCAAAAACATTCTGCCTAGAAAGCCCTCTCCACCCTCCAGTACTCTACTTCTGATACCATCTTCCAAGAGATAAAAAATTAACCCCTCTTGGCCTTTCATCCTAAGTAGGTCTTACTTTATTTTGAATTGCCTGGGAGTTAATCTTTTCAACTTAAACACTAAGGTCTTTCAACTGTTTACAAATTATTATTACAAATTATTATTAATTATTCTTCAGCAGATTTATGTACAGGTGTGGTGTTCCTAAAATAAATCTTTTGCTTCTTGTATTATTATAATAATTAATTTCATCACTGTACACAGAAAATGAAATATAAGTTAAATTTCATTTCAAACACCATACTTTTACTATCAAAATAAGCATCAGCTTAAAAATCTAAAATATGTATGATTTCTATCAGAGAACTGTAAGAATTATTCAACTAAATAAGGTTTTAAAAAAGAATTCTTCAACTGAAACGTGACAGATAAAAGAGAGATGTATTTTTTATAACTCTTTATTTTTTTTAATGTGATCCTGATAATTGAACCCAGAGCCTCACATGTGCTAGGCCAGTGCTCTACCACTGAGCCACAACATCAGCCTGAGGATTGTACTTTAAAATTTAAAAATACCAAAGTTGTAAACAGTGGGAGAAAAGAAGGGGATAACTCAGAGAGAAAAAAATTTACCAGATTTTTCAAATCAGATGTTTTTTATAAGTAAAATATTTAAAAGAAGAGATTCAAACTCAACTGGGATAACACAAGATTTCTCCTTTAACCATACAATATTTTCTGATTCCTATTTATATAAAAATTAAGATTTAATCCTCGATGGCACTCCTACAAACTCTAGCAAGTTATTAGTTGGGTTTGTTTCTGACCACAACTTCCAAAAACAGTGAGGTTTGAATACATGACAAAACTCACTAAATACGTTCTTTTGTTTCATTCCAGACATGAATTTGTGCTTTCCATTGCTGCTCATGAATGTTCAGGTGCTAGAACAGAGAATTAGAAGCTGCCTTTGTTAGAAGCGCTGACTCTTCATTTGGGCCTATAGATGCCCAATGGGTAACTAAAAGCAGGATCAAGCTTGGCATCCCTGCCTTCATTTCATATCCTTCTTCAGATTCCTGCTCAGCTCTGCAGAGAGGAATGTTCATCCTTTAAGAAGTGTTCATCTAAAAATCTGTGACATAAGGTTTGTTAGCCCTAAATTTATCTAATCTGCCTTGTCCTCCGTCAAGACTGAGGACACCAAGGTAAGAGTAACTAAGGTATTTTCAAAATCTTCAGGGACAATCAACTAACAGCTTTATAACATCCTGTTCCATAACCCTGGAGTGGTGTATAGAAGTCTCTAGATTTTGTTCAACACGTTCCAGGAATAGCAGCCCCTGATGAGACACCCCTGTCCCACTCCCCGAAAGCAGCAGCAATCATTTCAAGGAAACCAAGTTGCCCCTTTCAGGTTCATAGATGACTGTATGCACATCCTGAGCAGCAAATGGAGACCACCCCCTCAAGGACTTCTCTAGAACCATCTCACAGAACCAGAACTAAGACAGTGATCAACCAGACCCAAGTTTTTCTTGCCCTAATTCTTCCTCTATTTAAACCTAAAGTTTATGTTGGTACCCTGAAGACAGGGCTGAGACACTTGATCTCATTTTGCCTTCCCAGTATGCTGTATTGATTAAAGTTCCTTTCCTGCTTTTCACCACTGCTTTTTCTATTTTGTTTTGGGGCAAGTGACCAGATTGACTATTTGGGACCCCCAGAGTCAGACCTCTGGCTTGGGACTCCTATTACAATGCCAGCAATTATGTAAGAAACAGATTTCATATCAGTAAAAGAAAATGAAATATTGAAGCATCTTTTATGAGAGATAAAAAGAAACAAATACTTTAGTTGTATTAACCCTGTGTTTCTGCATCCCTGAACAAAGCCAAAAAAATTGAAAACCTAACTGGATCCAAAGGGAGTAAGGAAGCCCCTGAAAAGATTCAGGAGAGAGGACAAAAATATAATAAAAGCAAACCACCAAAAATAAAACACACAGTGAAGGTCAGAGATGAAAAGAATCAACGAAGTAGACTTTGAATTTACTTAGATTTCAGGATGAAGTAATGACACAATCCATCATCCAAACCAGAACACTGAGGTGCTGTTATAATTATGATGGGACAACAGGTATCAACCAGAACCATCCCAGGAAACTCAGGACATCTGGTTGTTCCATTTCCTTGGTTTCCACTCCACTGATGATGAAGAATGTATATAGTTAGACATGAACACAGCCAGAGAACCCACATTACTGAGCATCTACTGGGTGCTGGGCCTTTATAAGGTCTGGGAATGTATTTGGGAGCAAAATGGTCCCTAGAGACCTTACAGTCTAGTTAGTATAAGCATCAGTTCCTAAGAGTCTCTTAACAGTCCTTGGAAAAAAGCTAAAATTAAAATCCAAGTTATATATGTTTATTAAATTTGGTGACATGAAAAGCACTATAGAAACTGCTAGGAGAGATATAAAGAAATAAAGACAAGTCTTCTTTCTTAAGAAATTTATAATCTAGTTAGGAATGATGTAAAAAGTTAAATTGCTATGTAAGGCTTAAATATCAATTCATGGTGACTACGGAATAAATGTCACAAGACAGTGCAGAATTAATTGACAAATTAACTTTAAATAAATCATGATAAAAGGAGCTGCCAGAGGGAAAGTTCATTAAGGATGGGAGTGACTTCACGGAGTAACACGGAGTCCTGGCTTCTGAAGACCAGGTTGGATTTGGGTAAAAGGAGATGTGGAGGAGAGAGGGAGAGGTAGGATGCAAGAATCTAAACTCAGCCAGGTGTGGTTGTGCACACCTCTAATCCCAGTGGCTCTGGAGGCTAAGGCAGGAGAATCACAAGTTCAAAGCCAGCTTCAACAACTTACCAAAACCCTATGCAACTTAACAAGACCCTGTCTCTAAAAATTAAGAAATAATTTGAAATAAAAGTGAAGAAGAAGAAGGAGGAAGAGGAGGAGGAGGAGGAGAAGAAAAATTAAAGGAGCTGGGCATGTGGCTCAGTGATAAATCGCCTCTGGGTTCATTTCAAGGACCAAATCAACCATCGCGTAGAGACAGGACTGGAAAGATGTTTCCCTCTTAGAAACAGTTTCCCCAAAATATTTTTTACCTTCTTCAAAGCAACAAGAGGAGCAACAGACCCACCTCCATCATGCTAACTTTGTGATGGGAGTGGTGGTGTAGATGCCTATGTGTCTCCTACCTTTTTTGAAGAGCTGATAACCTCCCAGCCCCTTTTAGCCGCCAGCTTTCTGAATGCCTCCACATTGCCATTACTCAATGATGCCTAAAATACACATATTTTAAAATCAGTATGTTCAATGTATAGACATGAGAACAAATATTTTCTGGTTAGAAAATGGGCACTGTAGGATTATTCATAATTTTACTAGAAATTGCCACATTTTTTCCATGTGGGCCTAAACCATTTTATATGCACAGCAACAATATACGAGAAGGTCCTTCCAGAGTCACAAATAGCACCTTATCCAGCTGTTGAATTTTTGCCAGACTAAAAGACCCTAGATATTTCAGGTTATTTTTATTTAGATTTCTCTTATAAAGTCGAATATCTCATGCATTTGAAATCCAATCACATACATTTTGTGAATTATCTATTCTTGTCCTTTGCCTATTTTTCTGTTGGATTTTATTATTCCTCATTTTTAGATAGATAAGGCCTAAGTTAAGATCTAAGATAGACAAGATCTATCTAAGATAGAGATAAGGTATTATATAACATAAGATTTTTTTCATATAAGTAGCAATATTTTCCCCCAATTTCTCACTTGCTTTTTGACTTTGCTTATGGTTATTTTTTGTCAAATAATGATAAACATGTTGTGTAGTTGGAAAAATAAAGAAAAAAGGGGGTACTGTTAGAGAATGTGTGTGTTAAGCTGAAGTGATACTGCTGATGAATAAACTTGGGTTTACCTTTACATTTTATATTCAAACATTCAAATGATTACTACTTTGTTGTTTTATAAAATGCAAAACTGGGCCAGGGGTGTAGCTCGGTGGTAGAGAACTTGCCTACCATGTGTGAGGCACTGGTTTGATCCTTAGGCCACCAAAAAAATCATATCTGTATGAATTTGTAAATGCAAGCTTGTGGGCATGTCATTCGGCACAATTATGGTAAGAAACCAGATCACAATATTAGGCATCCTGAGTTTGTAGTTTGGGAACTATACATAGAAGCCGAACCAAGACAGTGAACAAATGGGTATTAACAGTTACTAGTATCTTGGTTTTGCTTAATTTTGAAATGATGGGTTGTTATAATTCACCTTTTCATCTAACCTGTGTAGGTACAACCTGAATTAGTTAAACAAGAAGATTTCCTTTTTTATAATGTTGAGCTCCAAATCATAAAAATGTTACCTGCTTGCTTTCATCCCACTGTATGCAGAGTGGAACTTCTTCTTTGTGAGAAATAACGTATTTCCTGAAAAAAATTAAAATGTTAAATAACAATTTTCTTCCCTGCATTTAACACACAATAGTAACCATGAGCAGCTGGGATTGTGGTTTAGCAGTAGAGTGTTCACACCTACCATGTGTAAGGCACAGTGTTTGATCCTCAGCACCACATAAAATAAATAAATAAAATAAAGGTATTGTGTCCATCTACAAATATATATATATATGTAACCATGATATTTTCTTGAACTAAACTTCCAGTTTAAAAAGCTGCTTTTACTGACCGAACCAAGAAGAGTCATTTCAACAAGTCTGTAGTCAGATTTTACAATCAGAAACATTAGTCCTTTTCTTTTTCTGTTATATGGGAAATATATATGACTTTGTAATGTAATTTGTCAGTAAGAGAAGATTCCATGGAACCCTCACACATCATGTCCCTTACCTGCCAAGGCGTATTCTCTTGCGTGCAATAGCTCCCCGATAGCGTCTAAAATCATCCTTTAATTTAAAAAAAAGACAGTAAAATCAATTTCTAATATTTTACTGCTACAATCTTCAAATATCTTTCTCCTAAGTCCATTGGAATGGAAAAGTAGGAGGCAGCGTCTCTGTGACCTACCCTCACAAAACCTAACGTCCGTGTTGAATCCACAGAGGGCAGTTGCACCCCTACAAGTTCAACTTCTACAGTTGTTTACATTCTTTTTTTAAAAGTGGAGATTATTTTGATTTCTGTTACCAGAATTATACATAAATCTCACTATATGGTTTTTAGGAAAGGCAAGTGTTGGTAATAAGGCAGTTCCTGGGTGAGAACCAAACACACTTCCTACGGAGGTGACCCAGCCCTGAGGACTGGATTGTCGAAACACATGACTAAACCAGTCAGGGTCACTCCAGGTGAACTGGGCTGGCACGAAATAATCACACAAAGACAGAGAAATACCTTTTTGGAGGGGGGGTTCTGTGATGGCTTCTCTGACCCAGCTCCCACAAGGGGGGCAAGGTAGACAAGAAAGACTGAGGAGCACTTGCTGAACTATTTTATTGGGGAGAAGCCATTCAAATAAGGCAAGGGGTAGGATTACAAAGGAACAAGTGAGTGTAACTCAACCCCCACAGGTGACACCTATACCTGGAGCTATACTTTGCTATCTGAGTAACACCCAAGTTACTTCGAGACCTGGCACTATGTGCCATTCAGAAGGAATAATTGGTCAGTGACCCTGGGCATCAGGACTTGAAGGTCTGCATCCAGGGAAGCTCCCGACACTGGATGGAAGAAGTAAGAGCAGATTCAGAAGAGGGAGGTGCAGAAGGTCACGTACTTCTCCAGCATGTACCTGAGTACAGGCTCCAGCTCCTCCATCATTTCAACAAATCAGCAGTGATTTGGGGTGGGGACAAAAAAGCCCATTTTACTTTGTTAAGAATAGAAGAAGGAAAACCAAAGGGAAAAAATCCAAGCCATCAAGGTTGCTGCTGGTGGGAGGAAATTCTGAGTAGGACTCTGGACCCACAGTTCTGATTGTCAAAGCTCACGTGGTAATAACTGACCTTTGAAATGGGTTCAATTCTGGGGAAGATGATGAGTTCTTCCTTATCATCAACAGCATTATAAATGAGAAAAGCACTGTTGATGTGGCGGCCTCGGCCTTCGGACCATTCCTGACAGTTGAAGGCCTCCACGCGCACTCCAACCTCCACGCTGCAATGGCGAGGCAGGGGATGGGCAAGACAACCACGGCTCAGCAGCCTTCCCTGCCCGCCACCACCTCCTCCTCCCAGCAATAGGAGACAAGGCCCTAGTTATGTTTGTTGTCAGCAAATCTGTACAACTATTAAAACCCATTTTTAGTTCATTGGGCTGGTTTGCAGAAGCTCCTGAGAGCATTACCACTTTCCCGCTTTCAAGAGGATAAAGGCCACTCTGTATTTACATGTAAATACACTTTATGAACACAGTTCATAATGGGGTGGGGGAGGTTAAAGCTATAAAGAATATTTAATGTCAGAAATATTTAATTTCTGAAATATTCTCTTTTTTTACATTTAAAAAGTTAAAAATACTAAATAAAATGTTTGCATTATGTATCAAGAATAACAAAAATAACTGGGAAGTAGTTTGGATTCATGGTGGTAAATAGGTTCATTATGAGCTATCTGCCCATAAGGTTACTAAGGCACTTACACGGCTGAAAGGAAGAATTCATAATTTTACCAGGATAACTGGCACAAACCAGAGCCATCCTGGGCCATCTGCCACATGTGCCCACCCTTATGAGACAAAACACCCAATCCACCACAGTTTACTGTGTAAGGAGGTCCCAAGCAGAACACAGGCTAAAAATGTGCGTCCATGAATTTTGAAGATTGAAATTTTAAAAAATCAGAAGGAGCTTGGTTAAAGTAGTCCCTCCATTCACCTCCAGATTGAAATAGAAACAATTATATATGTGCAAATTTGAGCCTCAGAGCACTCTTTACCAGGTCTGAAATGTATTGTTGACAATGGAGTTGAAGACAAGACGGTCTCCGACTGTAGATGGTCCCCGGAACTTAAACATGTCCACAGACTTCAGAAAGGGATGCCCCTTACACAGGCGGCTGAGGAAACAAATGGAAGGAGAGAGAAGACAACAATTACTCTCCAAAATATTTTCGTGAACTGTTGATTCACTGAATGGATGCAATAGATAAGTACCCAGCCTGTTTTCTAAATAAAGAACTCTTAACTGGATGTGTGCATTGCAAGTGGTTTTGTAATGACTTACAAATATTCGGTAAACTCCAACTTGAACATGTCCCCAAGAGTGGGGGCTTTACCAAGATGTTGGTGATTTACTCCTATCTTGTTCTCTCTGGAAGTACCACTGAAAAGCAAACTGATGCCTTTTGTCCTAATTTGAGGGTTATATTCATCCTGACAGCAGTGACTACAGACCCAGGAAGGTGTGACTGTCAGGTTGGAGACAAGAGAAGACAGCTGCCTGCTGGTGCCATTCCTTAGCTTGGCATAACTGAAATTATCTACAGATCAAAAGGCAAATTTGTTTTCCTCAATTACCTGGATGGTTGCACAAAGCCTGAAAGGCTACAAGATACACATTTTACAATGTTTGTGTGCATGGAATTTGGAAATAGCTACAAAGTATTTAATTTCAGAAGTTACCTGAATAATTTTCTACATTTTCTATTCCTACTGTACTCATTCAGTTACTCCAAAGAATTATGCTAACACTAAGTGAACAGCTTCCGCCATTGTTAATTATATGTTAAGCTTTTACAGTAGAACATGTTCAAGTTCAAATCCTTTTTGTCTTTAAGAATGACAATCTCATTTAAAAAACAAGCTCTCTTATTTTGTGCATAATTTGTAGAAAGGATAACTATAGGCTTCTAATTTTAGTCATAACTATAGACAGGTTAATAATAAACTTCTTTTAATTTGGAGGAAATAAAACCTTAATTTTCAGTAATTACAAAAATTGTCAGAAGGGTAGATCCTGTTCATAGGCATTTCCAGAGTACAGAGTGTTCCTTAAACTGCTCAATAACCTACATGGTTCCAGTAAGAATAAAATAACCTTTTCAGAAATTGAGGAAAGTTTAATAGTATTCTTCCAAGGACTCCCCTCTTTCTCTTCTTATTCTTTCAGTTAATTCTTTGGCCATAATGATTTTAACCAGCACTTTTAAAGGTCAGACTTAATTGTAAATTGCCTTTAAATAGTTTGTTACTTGATTCATTTTAAACTTATCACAGTAAGTTGCATTGTCCCCCGATCAACATTTAAAATTCAGAATAAAGTATTCAAACTATGAATTCAGTTTTACATTTGAGCCAAGAACTTAAAAATATTCACATTCACATAAAAGGATGGATTCATCCTAAGGGAAGCTAGTAAGTGATGGATTATTTCCTCATTCTGATGAAAGGCAGCATTTTGCTCCATTCTCTCTCTGACTCCTTGACTACTCCAATAACTAGAGCTCAGACGCTTTCCAATCATCTCCCCACTGGTCCCCCAGTCACACACCAAAGGTCAAAACCAAGAACCTTGCAGAAATAGTTGCCACTGTCTCCATCCAAGCCATAATCTGGCCACCAAATGTGTTCCCGTGATGGTTTGCGTGGGGTGGCAGCACAAGTTCAATGCTCTGAACAGCAGTGCCCCTGGTGGCCACGGTCCCTTCCTCTTCACCACAAGCAGGATCTGAAAGGGTTGAAACAGCAGCAATGGTGGAGTCAGCCAGGGGACCTGGGCTACGGCTTTACCTTCCCAGCAGCAAACTCAGCTCTAGGACTCTCAGAAAAATTAAATCGTTCTTAAAACCTTAAAACTGAAGAAGCAAGTGCATAGGGTTAGGATACCAGCTCAGAAAGGGCCTCTCCCAACCTATCTAACCAATCCACCTGCATCTTGATTAAAGGAATGCTTGATTAAATTTCATTTAATACTTTCATTTAAACTCCAGTTGTTTGGAGGTGGGAGAAAGGTGGGAACACTGGCATAAATTTTGGGGGTGATGGATATATCATTATCTTGATTGTGGTGATAGATTTACAGGTGCACACTCATGTCAGAACTTCTCAAGTTACATGCTTTAAATAAGGGTCATTTAAGTTTGTCAATTATACCTCAATAAAGTCATTAAAAATAAAGGAATTTAAACTATGAAGGGCCACAGAATCTGGAGCATTGTAAACTTCAGAGTAGGGATGTGGCCTTCTGTTCAAACTGTCTTGTGATGAACTCGGTCACAGCAGAGAAGACACAATCTGCTGTACTTCTCCATGTCCGTCTGCTTCTTTTGAATCGTATCAGCTTCATTTACAGACAAATTGGTTTTTACTCTCAACAATGGAGAAATCATTTACTCCAGATGCAAAGCAGTAAAACGTATTCAAATGTACTTCCTGCATCACCCAGTGAATCACCAGCTAGGCTGAAATCTCACGCACCATTATTAGGAAGGTGGAAGGGAGATTTACAAAACCCAGGGAACCACATTGGTTGGACTGTCAGAGCAAGCTGATCTGGCAGTGGGAGAGCATAGATGTAGCTGATGTTGGTAACAGGGAATGGGCTGCTCTTGGAGCAGTTCCTCCCAGGTGACCAAGAAGGGTGTACAGAGACCTTTAACTCCACTTCCTAATGGAATTTTTAGATTTGTAATTGATGGTCTTTTACTTTTATTTTCCCCCTTTTGTTTAATTGATCATTTCAGTTTCCTGCTTAAAACTTGTTAGTGGCTACTATTGTTCTAGCATGAAGTGCCAAATCCTTCCCATAGCCTCCAAGCCCTTTACTCTGCTCCAGCCATGCCTCTGTCTCCAGCCACAGCTGGTATGATGACCACCAACTGTCACCATCATGTTCTCCCTTGCTTGCTCCCTCCCACTGTTCCAACCCTTCAACTACATTGGCCTTTTTTTCAGTTGCCCCCCAAAAAACAAAATAAACAAACAACAACAACAAATCAGAGCATTTGCATTAGTCTACTCTGAAACAGTTTCCCTGGTCACCACCACCACCCACCACCACTTCACTCCTATTTTGTCTTGGCTCATCTCAGTGCTCACTTCTCAGTAAAGCCTTCTCTGATCGCCACAGCTAAGTTCTGCCATTAAGAACCCTCTGTACAATTAGAAAAATGAGAAATTATACCCCAATGATTCAAATGTATGAATTGCCAAGTCATTGTAATATCATGAATAGCTAATTAAAAAATTAAAAAAGAATGCTCTCTCCCTCTCTCCCTCCCTCTCTCTCTCCCTTATAGCTTTATGTTCATTTATGCAATCTTCTGCTATCTGACCCACTAAACCCTAAGCTCCTGGGGGGCAGGGACTATGAATTTTTTATTCTCATATAATTCTCGAACATGAGTACTCAGTATTTATTAAATGAATGAATGAATGAACTTTACTTTGTTGATTCACTTTACATTCATGATGCTTACTCTCGACATAACATTTTTAGGACATGCAATAGTTGTACTGCATCACACTTCTGATTGCTACTTATGAGAATTTCCTTTGCTTCCCATTTTGCTTAAACAGTTTATCAGACACCCATTCTCCCCAATTTAGTGGCTATGAAATGTTGGCTACAGTTTGCATTTCTCTGATTCCTTGTGAGGTCTAATGTCCTTTCTTATTAAACCTTCTTAGTATGTCTATAGGCTTCAAGTGGTTAAGTTTAATACTCACACTTTGAGTGTTTTCATAGCAGTGTGTCATAATTCATGGATAATTTTACATTCACTCCACATTTTTAGGTCAGAACTGTGACCTGAACTGAGGTCATTCTAGCTCTTGTTTTCATTCTGCATATCCAGAAAGGCTCAACCCCAGAGTAATGCTCTTAAAGTCTGATTCCTTACTGAAAATGTGTAATTAAAATGCTTCAAATATTGTTTTCCCCCAGAATGCCATCCCTCTAAGCAATGACCCAGTGGTACAAAAGCTTTTCCCCCCAAAGTCCTCCTTTTACAAAACCTAATATTACACATCTTTACCTTCTTCCTTATGAAATCACAGGATGTGGATTCAACTTTCTTGCTGTTAGAACAGGATGCATTTCCATTATACAACACCTTGAAATCCACACTGTTATATCTGATTGTATAACTAGTATAGAACCCTAGTTTTCTAAAAATATAGTTCAATTACAAGATGATCTGGCTACCTTATTTTAGAATATATTGTTTAATCCAAAACAGCCATCAGATCCAAGGGGCAGCAAGTGGACAGGTCGCTCTCTACTGCATTTTTAAGTGTCAGGGCCCAGTGCTTACATTCTTCTGGAGAAACTGTCATTAAATTCCACGTCACAGGTGGTATAGAAGTTAGTAAAATTTCCAAAAAGAGCAAATCAATAGAGTTATGTTAACAGTTGTTTTGTCCAAAAAAAATGTGATCTATTTTAGGCTAGATTAAGTGAAACCAATGATAAAAGCAGCATTTTAAAAAAATCTATAATTCTAAATTAAACCAGACATATAGATCTTTTGCAACCAACCTCCTAACAAACTGAAACCAAAGTCAATTTCAATCATTTTATCCCTACATTGAATGCCTATAGCATATTCCTGTTACAAATTAATTTAGAATGTCTCCAGTGCTTAAAGTAGTGTTGACAAATTGCTGCAATTTTGTTTATTGGTATAACTTGTGTAATGACAGAAGGAGCCAACTCAGTCACCTGAGTTCACCTGGTAAGTGGGCTGAAGTCACTAGACCTGGCAACCCTTCCTAATAGACTAACCCTTACAGAGAGGTCAGAGCCTCACAGAGTACCATAAATTCCTCCCGAATAATTTTCAGATGTTTGAAATACAAGAGAATCACCTTTCTCTTGTAACCAAACTCTCTCTCAATAATCATTTTTATCATCATCTTGATCAACATGGAACCATGACCAAGTTTTTCTCTTCTGAAAAACAATTCCCTTTGAACTTGAGAGTCCCCTCTAGCTCCAAGCTGTTTCTTTCATCCTTCTCAGCCAAGTTCCTCAAAGTATAGTCTTTAACTGTCCTCCTTAGTTATTCCTATGAATGGAGACCTCTCCTCCTTAGTTATTCCTATGAATGGAGACCTCTCGAATAACAATATTAATAACAATATTAATATTAAGCCCTTTCTGCATATTCTGCGTTGTTTGGAGCAATCTATCTATATTATTTCATCTTGACACAAATCTATCACATACGTATGTTTATTATTTCCATTTTACAATTTTTATTTGTTTACTTTTTACTTCACCCTAGTGAGCTAAGAAGAACAAAGTGAGAGGTCCTGATGGTAGACAGCAAGTACTGGGATAAGAAAAGAAAAAGAGCAACTACGTGCTAGCCAGTAACTAGCACTGACTGCCAGAGGAAGTAGATGAGGCTCTGAGTACCCAACTTCTAGCTATTTTGCCTTAGGATTGGCTGAGCCAGTGGAAGGAAGCCACTGTCTCTGTTGTGGATAGCTTAGGGGTGTGCAGCCACAGAGAGGGGAGAGGGGGGGGGGGAATCTGGCTCCACCTCCGATGGCTTGAGTGCAGGAGAACACCTAGAGAGAACCGAGTTCCTGTCAAATGCCAGTGCTGCTGTGGGACACTCCTGCTGGTTTGGATGACACTGAGATCCAGTTCAATGTCCCAGTTTCCCTTAAAAGCTGAGGCTCTGATATAGCCACGCTGCACTAAATTGTTCTTGTCAGGTATTTTAGTGATAGTAAAAAAGTTGAGTACAACACCTGATCTCCTCCCTCTACCCAGAGTGGTCATATTGAGTTCCAATCTAATCATGCCACAACCTGCTCAAAATCCTTCCTCTGTGGCTCCCATGAAGGACTAAAGAAAGATCAAGTTTCTGAACATGCCTGAGAGCACCTCCATGGCACAGTCGTGTCTTCATTTTCTGCCTCATCTGTCTTGAGTTTCCCTGTAGAATGCTCTTGTGATGGTGGATCCCTAACACAGCCTGTGGGTTTGTGCCACTGGGTCACTGCTCACACTGTCACTTGCTTCACCTTCTTGGCTTTCTCATGGTCAGGGGGTCTTTCCTGAACTCCCTGAGAGTTCCTACTCTGGGCTTCCACAGTATTTGGAACCTACAGTGCTCTTTTCAATCTCTACATTATTTTTAAACTACTCAAATGTCTGTCTCAGGCAGTAAACTTTGAGTTTTGCAAGAGCAAAGTCTCTGCACTGTTCATCTTTTTTTCTTTTTCTTTTTCTTTTCTTTTCTTTTTTTTTTTTTTTTGCCTTTGCAGCAAGCATGTTCCTGGCACAAAGTGGGCATTGAATACACATGTATTGGAGAGAATGAAGCAGGCAGCATTCCTCTCTCTCTCTGCTTAGGAGGAAGGAGCTCATTCTTCTGTATGACTGTACAGAAGCTTATCTATAATCACATCTATACCTCCTCCTGCAAGCACCAGACCAAACTGACCAGCCCCTCAACTGGCACAGGTTCCCCTTCTTCCTAGTGGCAGAGCTTTTTCAAGACAGTTCCAGGTATACAGGGTGGAGAATCATTCTTGAGATACATATTTTGGATGAGAGATAAGTTAAAAGCAAATTTTGGCAAGGATCTCTGGATGAAAGTGCAGATTTCAAAAGAGCTCTTTTCTGACATTGTCAAAGAAGTCTTTTGTGGCTTAAAAGTCATTGGTAGCTTATTTCTATTTCCTTCTTACAAAGTCAGGTAGTGTCATTGTAATCTCAGAGAGGACAAAAGGCCTTTTAAAAAGACATAATTGTGCAAAAAAAAAAAAAGGCCAATGAAACCAGAGCAACTGAACATACTTAATAATCATGTTAAATGCTTGCGTTTTCCTTATATACCCTTAGAGAGCTACTTGTTAAATATAATAAGGGTTAGGACACCAGTAAGTATTTTGTCTGTCATTTCATTTCTTTCCTGGGATTTTAGTAGCAAGAAGACAGCAGGGTGAGTTTAGGATTGATTGATTTTTTTTTTTAAATGGTTGTCTAGTCTGCCTTAGAACTGTTCTCATGTACAACTATTTCATTCCTCGTGCAAAATACGTTTAAAATATATTTTGCTATATATCATCCTTACAAAATGAGACTCACTCTTCTCAGCATAGTGATTTAACAATGTAGTCTTCATTTCCTTAAAAATAAGATATTGCCCTTTAAAAGGTCAACAAATAAATAAACGTTTTCAGTTGTTAGAAGTACAGGGTGACACAAATTATCTCTTTCTCTTAAAACACACCTTTCTGTCAGTAATAGTTTATCAATCATCCTGATCAGTCTAGAATCCTGACCAAGTTTTTCCTATCATGGAAAATGATGCTCCTTGCCCTTAAGGGTCTCTAGAGCTCTTCTAGCTCTAGTTTCTCAAAGCAGAAACCTTTGAAAACCTCTTCCACCCCAGAGACCTTCTATGGGGTTGTCCCAGGACCATGATGACATCATGTGGGCAGAATGAGACCCACACACTTTTGCCACTCCAGCTTCTGCCTTTCTCAAGCCTCTGGTCTCTACGTATTCCTTTTCCTCCTACCTCACCTTCCATCCTCCCCTCTCCTCCCTCACTGGTTCATCCCCCTGGGGCTTTGGAAGATGGCTTCAGACAAAAAGGAATGGCAGGGGGAGGGAAGGGGTTCCAACAAGGTTTCAAAGAACCTGGAAAATCACTGCCAGAGAACGAAGAAAGTTTGTTTCATAAAACCCAGTGTTATTTTGGAAAGTGCCAGGAAATAAGAGCAGAATCTTATCCCTTCTGTTTTATATCATATGGGATCTTTAGCAAGTTTCTTCCCAGCTCAGAGTTGTAGCTTCCTCTCTGTTGGGGCTACGTGCAGCTCTTTATGAAGCCAAGGGTGAGGAAGTGTGAGCTGTGGAGCACCATGTTGGAGTATGGCAAGGTCATCCTCCATCTGTCACACTGAATGCTATATAACTCCAGCTGCCCAGTCCCTTATTCACCAGCTCCTTCCCTGGAGATCCTCTGACTTAAACATGACCTAGCCAATCAACAAATGGGCCAAAGACCTGAACAGACACTTCTCAGAAGAGGATATACAATCAATCAACGAATACACACAAAAAAATGCTCACCATCACTAGCAGTCAGAGAAATGCAAATTAAAACTACTCTAAGATACCATCTCACTCCAGTAAGAATGGCAGCCATTATGAAGTCAAACAACAACAAGTGCTGGCGAGGATGCGGGGAAATAGGTACACTCATACACTGCTAGTGGGACTGCAAATTGGTGCAGCCAATTTGGAAAGCAGTATGGAGATTCCTGGGAAAGCTGGGAATGGAACCACCATTTGACCCAGCTATTCCTCTTCTCAGACTATACCCAAAAGACCTAAAAACAGCATACTACAGGGACACAACCACATCAATGTTTATAGCAGCACAATTCACAATAGCTAGACTGTGGAACCAACCTAGATGCCTTTCAATGGATAAAAAAAAAAAATGTGGCATTTATACACAATGGAATATTACTCATAACAAGATCATGTCATTTGCAGATAAATGGATGGCATTAGAGCAGATTATGCAAAGTGAAGTTAGCGAATCCCTAAAAACCAAATGCCGAATGTCTTCTCTGATATAAGGGGGGTGACTCAAAATGGAGTAGGGAGGAAAAGCATGAGAAGAAGATTTCCACTAAATAGGGAAGAGAGGTGGGAGGGAAGGGAAGGGAGAAGGGGAATTGCACAGAAGATGGAAGGAGACCCTCATCGTTATAGAGATTACATGTATGATGATGTGAGGGAAAAAAAAAGAAGTGTGTCACATTAGATTGGGTAGAGAGAAGTGATGGGAGGGGAGGGGAGGGGGAGGGGTGAAAAAAAAAGGACAGCAGAATAAAATAGACATTATTATTGTTATATATATATATATATATATATATATATATATATATATATATATATATATATATGACTGCATGACCAACATGATTCTGCAACCTGTACACTCAGAAAAATGAGAAATTATACCCCATCTGATTCAAATGTATGATATGTTAAGGTCATTGTATTGTCATGTGTAATTAATTAAAACAAAAAAAGATGACTTAGATGTCATCAATTATATTCCAAGTCCCTTATTTCTCCAGCCACTCGGTTTGTTTCAAAAGATATCCAGCAACATCAGGACTGAACTGTACAGTGAAAATAAGTGTGCCCTAAAAAAGGACCCAGTCACTCGCACTAGTCATGAGAAGTTCTTAGGAGTGGATCTGCTGACCTTCGAAGCTGCTACTTTCCTTCATTAAGTTGTTAAAAGTATCTTCATGTTGTAATCGAACTTTCCTTCTCTCAGAAGCCAGATTATGCTCCACTTGATCTTGTTCAGTTAGAAGTATGACTGGTTTTAAGTGAATCTGAAGGAAGAAAATAATTCACTTTTATTGCCTTATTAAGTTATAAAAATACAACACGAATTTTGTAAAAACAAATGAAATGTTACATGGTTTTGTAACTCAAGTAAAGAGAGAAGTTATAAACATTTTCACTAAACATATTCTAACTTTTTTTCTCAAAAAATCTTCAAATTTAAAAAATTGGAATATGTGTATTATATTTACTATAGTATAGTATATTAATTATTTCTTCATCAAATATGTACCTTTAAAATTATTCTTATTTATTTTACATTATTTAAAAATGTTTCCACAGAACTATGAAATATGGCATTATTCAGATAAATGAATGAGGGTAGGGGTTGTGATTTCCCCTGAATTATTCTGGTGAATTCTTAACAAGAAATGTTTTCTATTTTTTGAAAAATTAAGACACCAAAGAGAGGAGGAGGGGAATAATTATGTTCTAGAGAAAGCTATCTTGTTGTCCCAGGAGATATTTCCAATTTGGAAACTTCATCACATGGTAAAACCATTAATAAGCAAACTGAAATAATCAATATGTCAGAATAAAGCTTTAACTGACCTCCAGAAACCTGGATATATGACGAAAGAATACCAAGGGCACACGCTGCTCTGCAGATGCCCATCTCTGACTGTGTGTGAAGGGACAGGCTGGCTCCAGGCTTATTTCAGGTCCTGACCCTTGGCCTGGATAAGATTAAGCCAAGCTAGTGATTCATAATATGTTGCCTAAAGTCCAAAGCTCCCCTGGGCTGCCTTGTCTCATCTGGTCAGGAATGAGTCGATTGACAGCTTACATTGGTTTGACTTATTATTATAAACAGGACAATATACATATATCTTAGTGAGTCCTAATCCTCAAAATACATCATGTGTGATTCTGCGGAAGGACTCGGGGAACTATCCACTGCAGAAAGTGGAACCTCTCTGATGTTGGCCTGTGCCTTTTTTCCCTGGCTGTACCATCTCCATTAGCTTTAGTGAGCCTTGGATGAGCACACCTCCTGGAGTCCTGTGTGTCCTCTCCATGATCTGTGTTTTGCTAATCTAAGTCTAGTTAATCATTGCCAACTTCATCCTGGAATAAACTCTCTTTGGACAGGTATCCAGGTAGTCTTGTCAGTTCAAACCATGGCTCTCTTCACGATGTGCTACTGAACGAGAATGTTACCAACTAGAAAATCTGTAAATCTGGGAAAAGTACTTTACAATTGATGTTCTCTGAACCAGCCAGTTACGGCAGCAGCTCAAAGAGCTGACTGCTCAGAAAGGCCCTCAGAAACCAGTTCTTCTGTCTCAGCAGAGAGTGGACTGAGGTGTGACAATTATATGCTTAGCCACACATTCCTGAATTCAGTGAGGAGTCTGAGGCTAGAGGGAGTAAACAGTGTAGTTCTCCTCTGCCACATGAGGGAAGGCTGGCCATGTGTACTCCTTCCTGTCACTTGCTGTCAGATATGCAAACTTGCCACCTGCCCCCATAATTTTCTCATTCCCAAGAGTTTAGAGATTTCATGAAAAACAGAAAGGTTGGAAAGATCTGTCCCATTGTCTCAAATTTTCATGAACATGGGATGCCTGGAATCCCCATCAAAGTACAAATTCCAAGTTCTTAACACTGGTGATTCTAATCCTAGAAAGCTGCATTTGAAATAATATAACTAGCTGATGTGAACTTCAGTTTGAAAAGCAGCACCTTGGGCACTATGAATTTTCCTTGCAGCATGTTTAAATCAGGCCTAGAGCAGAAGATGTGCCCCAGGGGACAAAATCCTGTGGCAACATATGCCACCCAAGCATCATGGTGGCCCAGCTGGTGTGCACAGCTTCTGCCTTCTCTGTGGGATGCTGTGGAAACATTGCTTTGTCCCAGCTCCAAGCTGGAGGCAGGCTGAGGAAGAACTTGCATACTTTGCCAGAAGGAGACCCCTTGTCACTTCCAAGTGGAGCTAGGAGAAGTCACTGTGCCTACCCCTGGAGCAATCCTTGGAGTGAAACATTTAAATCATAATTTGAATTATTACTTTTTAACAACGTTTAGACTACATGGGGTCCTTACCCTGAGCAGGAATGTCAAGAAATGATAGTGAGGAATTCTGAAGCAGGCCCTGGATGAGCATGTGCATCAGGACAAAGTTTAAGGGTGCCCCAAAGCTTGTTTTCAAAGTTCAATAACTGAGCAACTTTGACGTTTTTTCTTCAAGTATAAATGATTAAACCATAATATCCAACTGCTTGATACATTACTCCAGCTTTTTTTTTTTTTTAAACTATTTTAACTAAATTTTCAAGTTTTCAAAAGAAAATAACTAAACTAGTAGGAAATCTTTTAAAAGTGAGATGACTTTCAGGTCATTTTGTTTTCCTTCTTTCTCCAACTGGCTACCTCTCCTTTTCTCTAAGGTCCTAGGCCTGGAAAGATCTTATTACTTAAAACCTATGATGTAACCATAGAATTGTAACTTTATGGTAAACGTTGGTGAATTAAAAATCTTGGGAAATGTATCTCCTGGTAAGAAGAAATGTCCTTTCCCCCATAATAATTCTAATGCTTTCTAATTCTAATGTCCCTGATTTTACATGAAGAGATGCCTCTTTACATAGGAAATTTACCTTTTCTTTTCCAACTGGTTTGGCTACAAATGTAGAGAAAGCCACACTAACAAGTTTCTCAATGTCCATCAATGTGTCCTGTACTATGACCTTGATACTGATCTAAAAGGAAAAGAAAAAATAAACAAATTTTCAGTCATCCAGAGAGCAGATTTGATCACAACATTCAAAATTCAGTTATGTACTTTGCCATTCTTATCTTTTTTAAAAAATGAGACCAGCATTTTAATTTATTTTTAAGCAGTACTATTCTTTCAATGATGTTCTATAAAATTGGATAAATAACTTTTATCTGACTACAGGAAATATATATTTGCCATGGAAAATTTATGGAATCTGATTACCCAGAGTAAGATTTCCAGTAATCCTATCACCTAGAGATAATGCTATTAAACTTTAGATGAACTGTCTTCTAGTTTTTATATATTTTTATGTGTATATGTGCATATGCAAACATACATACATACAAACTAGTTTATATATATAAATACACATAAAATATATATGAAATATGAAATATATATTTTATAAAGCATACATAAAATGCATATATGTATATACACGTTATAAAATATAATACTTTATTTATGGTTTTATACTACAATTTTTAAATTTTTGGCATTTTCTAATCCTGTTATTAGTAAATAGCTTTTGAAAACAAGCTATTAATGACTGCCCTGCAGCTCATCAAAGAGATGTATAACAATTATTTTTACACTTTATCCTCTACAGTTTTATGAATAAGCTAGCATGGGCAGATGGCATCATGTTATGTTCAGTTTGGTTTCCTTGTTTTCTTTTTTTGTACTGCAAATTGAACCCAGGGATGCTTAACCACTGAGCCATATCCCCAGATATATATATGATTTAAATTTTGAGTCAGAGTCTCTCTAAGTTGCTTAGGGACTCCCTAAATTGCTGAGGCTGGCTTTGAACTTGCAATCCTCCTGCCTCAGTCTCCTGAGCTGCTGGGATTACAGGCTATGCCACTGCACCAGGCTCCCTGTTTTCTTTTTAGGAACAGTGGCTGAGATAGTATGTGGAGACCCTGCAGTGGGCTGTCCCTCTGTGTGAAGAGGTCTGAAGCTCTGTTCCTCAGGCTGGCATTCTGTAGGACTGTGGAGTTTGTCTTTAGATTGGGGCTAATAAGCACTTTCCTCCATATTTCAATCAAATAAATGATCCAGTCTTCTTGGAATAATGGACAATCTCAGGTATCTTAGTTCAGCACTGTATAATCAATTAAAAAGAACATCTATTTCTACATCTTGACCAGGTACATCATGTACAAAAAAAAATAATAATCTGTAATTCATCTTGAGTCACTTAACTTAAAAATGCAATTTTGTATTTGCACAGTAAATCCTAAATTAACTAGAAGTTGATCAACTACTTTTAAACCATTTATTCCCAATTCCCACAAACCCTTGTCTTATATAGCCTTCCACTTTAGAGAAACAGGAAAATGAAAAATAAAATGCCAACAGTAAAATCATCAAAAATGTGTAGATTTAAAACAAGTTCGGAGCACTATCTCTTACTAGAATAGGTGACCTAGGGGCTGGGGTTGTGGCTCAGTGATAGAGCGCTTGCCTAGCATGTGTGAGGCACTGAGTTCAATTCTGAGCACCACA